CTGAATCTGTGTGTTCTAAAAAAAATCATCTTCCCACAAACATGGTGAAAGTATGAAGACGATTGTTAGTTGTGTTTTTATAGGAACGCCCATAGTTTGAAGCAGACCTGTTGAATAACCTCCAAAAACGGGAAAGTAAAACACTGGAGCTATAAAAACCGTTGTGAGCATGTCTACGCAGAAAAGCCTGAAAATTGGTGGAAATGTGTAATATGTCTACCAGTGATGGGATAATCATCTGAATCAGAAAAACCCTATTTTTCATTCCGAAAAAAGGAGTCCTGTAACAGCACTTTTGCAGCTATCAATTTGGCAGCGCAATGAAAAATTTTGGACAAAGGTCTTTTGTATTATTATTGGGATTTTCAAAATTAGGTTAAACTATCTAAATCCACAGTACGTACACTAAGAATAACTGCCGAGATAAACACTGGCGGTACATTGACGAGCTGGCAAACATCTCGCTTTTCGGTCTCGCATTTTTCTGGGCGCGAGCTCGCATTTTTCTAGGCGCGAGCTCGCATTTCTCTCGCGATTTGAAAATTTCCGAAATGCGAGATAAATGCGAGATGGCGCCAAGAAAAATGCGAGGTCGCGCCGAGAGAAATGCGGGATCGCGCCTTGAAAAAAGCGAGATGTTTGCGAGCTCGTCAATGTACCACCACCGACCTAGCGTTTATCTCGTCAGTTATTTTTAGTGTATTTCCAAATAAATAGGCTGCTATCTTCCAAAAAAAAAAACCCCTAACCATAACTGACAGTTGAGAAGCAGCCACTTATAAATTGGTAACAATGAAGGCGGTGACTTGAAGACAATGCAGTAAACGGCGAGAAGATTTAATGGTAATGTGATTGAAAAGTTGAGATATCCAGTTAGACGAAGAGTATCGGCGTTGAACAGAACGTGTATAGGACAAGAGGGAAAGTTCATTTCGCGTGTAGTATACGATAACCTCTTGGGCAGTTTTTTTTTTCGAGTTTTGGCTTTGAAAGAGAAAGATAAATTGTGAGACGAACAAAAGAATATCAGTCTAAACTTCAGAGTCACAGGATATTTCCGGTACAAAGATTGCTCTAATATCCTAGGAGAACCCGCCTTCGAAGTCGGAGTACCAAAGTCCTTACTTTTATTAACAATTACACCTGCTAGCTGTGATTCTCAAATCTTATGAGTTTTATCATAATTTTTCTCATTAAATTGACAATATATTCCCCATTTTGTTGGAATAAAGGAAAAAGTAGCGTCTTTAGAGTAGTATTGAGAAGCTAACTAATGTATAATAGTCAATTTTGATCGTTAAACAAATTTTTCCGGTCGTTTTTGTTTTGCTTAGTATTCACAATTTTTAGAAGTTCAAGAGCCTGAATGTAGACAGAAAGAATTCTTTTTATTATTCTGAAGGGTGGGAAGAAATATTGAGAAACGGCGATTGCCGCCCTTTTCATCGACATCACTAACTTTTTTTTCAATGTTATTAATTTTACAAAGTTTGCTTGTGTGAAAAATGTCACGGTCAGTTTGTTGATGTAATTTCAATAACAGCTATTTTGCCTGAAAAATTTTGTGGTTCATGTTTTTTAAAAGGTGTAAAAAAATTCAACCTTTTCTATTGAAAAGAGAAAAATTGGAAATCAGGTGGAAAATTTGAAAGCAGTGTTCACGATAACTTTTTGTCACCAATATCAAAATAATAGTAGCTGATAGTCCGTGAAGCCCGAAAAGAATCGTGTCAAGTGTGGCAAAAGCTGAAAAAGTTTGAATGAAAAAATAATAGTAGAAAAAAAAAACGTTGAACGGAGTAATTGAGAATAGACAGGATGACAGTTGTACATAATGGTGCAGAAAAAAATAGCAATGGTATAAGAAGCTGTAAAAAATTGCTTTGTTGAGTTTAGTGGACCAGATTGACCTGACAACAGAGTGCATAAAAAAAGGTTTTTTGCTGTTCTCTTGTTTTCGCAGATATATGACTCTGGGTTTTGAGAAGAAACATACAAATACGAATACAGAAAAATAAAAATATTAAAATCATTACGAAAAGTGTGAAGAAAAAAGTAGAAGCCGCAAAGTTATTGAGGTCTAAAACAAAGGATGCTGTGGAAAACATTTTTTCCGGGATGCACCCGAGTTTCTGAAAAAAAAACCGCTTGTAAAGAATTCTTTTCATTGAATACCTTTGTTGTTAGTTCTTTTGCTGCCATTTGATCTTCTGGGGCCAATATGAGCGTCGTCCAATCAGAAAAGTTCATAGCCATGAATATTGAAACCAAAAAAATGTAGCGTTGATTCCTAGTGAAATTGAACCGGCTATTTTTGGGGGTCACACAATAATGTCTGTGCTCAAATAGAGAAGTCATGGAAGTGATCATGGCTAGAGGAAAAAGTTGAATATGAGAAATTTTTAGATCTGAAACTCACTCGCCATTAAAAATAACGCGATGCCAGTTTGAAACTTTGTAGAAATTCCGAAATCATGGTATAAACCGGTTGAGTAACCTGCCCACGCAGGTAAGTAGAAAACAGGAGTTATTAAGATGGTAACGTGCAGGTCTATAGCGAAACTCCTGGAATTCAAATGAATATTTCCAGTTCGTTTCTCTTCTCTCATTTTACTAGCTGCAAGCTTTTGACTTTGAATCCTGATTAATCATTTATTTAATCGACTAGGCTGTGAAAAAAAACTTTTCAAGTCGCTTCCTTAGAACTTTCAACGAAATTCCAACAGGCCTTACTCAAAATTTCACGTCTCGAAAAGAAGTTTTTTTGAAAGGCTCTTAATTTATAAAATAGATTATATAGGGTCCTAGTTAATCGCTCTTATCTAACCAATTAAAGAAGATAAGCATTTATTTTTTTAAAAAGAATAACGAAATAACTTTTTTTCTAAGAAGTTTATTCATCCTATTTTTTTGAAGTTCGCAGTTATCGAAAGTCAAAAGGTTACCATTAGTAATCGTTAAAAAAACCGAAAAAAATTGCCTTTTTTTAGCACGCTAGGTTAAATTACCTACGATCCGTGTGGAAAATCATCAACATATTTTTTTATTAATCGGGATTTCATACAAATAATCTTAATGTAGTAGTAATGCATTTTCAAATTTACCAGATTTGGCAGTTGAACAGAAGCCACTTGTATTCTCGAAGCATATTTTTTGGCGACTTGAAAGCAATGCAGTAAAAGGCCAAGATGTTCAATGGCAGTGTGATTCCGAAGCAAACACGTTCAGAAGTTTGAAGGAATTCAACATCGAAAATAGGATGAGATTCGCAGTTAGGCAAAGTCATGAATGAAATCGACAAAAGTTGGAAAACTTCACAGAACAGAGTAGGCAGGTGCTTTGAAAAACGAGGAATTTCTCAAAACAACTGAGATTTCTTTTTTCTTTCAGGTTTTAGGGTTTCCCCTTCAAAGTGACTCTTAAAAGAGAAAGGATGACTGCTTCTGAAACACCTGAAATCCTTCTTATTTTTACAAAAAAAATTTGATAGTTGTTTCAAAAATCCTTTTTGACAGTAAACTGTGTTCAAAAAGAACTGGAGGCAAGAAGAACGATAAATTTTTCATCAAATCAAATCCCCTTTATTTTCAAATCGAATCAAATCAAATGGGGGGTTAACACAACCGCGAGTCCTCTTCCCTCCATCACCACAAGCTCCGACACATATGATCCCATATTCTCCCTACATCTATTCCGTGAAATTTAGTACTTGTGTGTGAGAAATAAAAAAATTTTGATTGATTTGATTGAATATTTGAAAGGTTCATAGTTTCCAATGAAAGAGAGAATGAAGGTAATTTTTTTGAGGTATGAAAAACACCAGCGAAAATTCAAACGGCGACTTTTCCGATTTTTTCATTTCGCTAGGGAACTTTCCGACGGCCACCTTTCCGACGGATCCCTTTCCGACTTTTTCCCTTATGCTTTTCGGTTTATAAAACATCTATTAACATTTTTTTCTTATTTCTTTGTGTTTTAATTATAAACAAACTAACTACTTTATATAGGAATATGTAAAACGAAGAGTTTATCGAGAAAAAAAGTCGGAAAAAAATATTCGTCGGAAAGTTCCCTAGCGATATGAAAAAATCGGAAAAGTCGCCGTTTGAATTTTCGCTGGTCTTTTTTTCATACCACCAATTTTTTCAATAAAAACTATAAAACTAAAAAAACGAGTTTTTTATTAGATCAATACGGTTCAAAATTTTTTTCACAAATCGAACTCATTTGAAGTTTGAACAGCTTATCTGTTGGTATATGCATTATTTTTTCTTTTCGAGAAGGGACTACGTATAGTTTGAAGTAGGTCATATTTTGAATTTATCGAGTGATCGGCGTTACAGCAAGACTGTAGGTTGTTTGTGAGACGAAGTTCTTTGAGGCACCTTAGTTCTCACAATTTTTTTTTAAATAATAATTTATTCGTCTAGCTTATTAGCTCCATTAGCTCTGAAACCTTCGAAAAAAAGGAGAATAAGACTACAGACCAATTTTTTTTGCCTCATTTTCTAGTTTTTTCTCGATGACGCCGAAGTTATCGCTCAAAAATTTTTCATTCCAGACGGGTTTGACACACAATAAAGAACTAATCACATTCCTTTACTTCTCTGAAAAGAAGAAAAGAGGTAATTCTTCAATCGAACAGCTCCCAAATAAATATTCCTAGTCAGATTTAAAAAAACTTGGTTTTTTTAGCTTTTTTTCTCGAAACAGAGGAAAAAAATTTATATTAGCTATAAACTTCAGCAAGTAGAGTTAAATTTCGCGTATTTGTAAATAATTGAAAAAAACATTTTTTTAATTTTTTTCTCAAAGTTTATTTCGGTTGCCGATTGAGAAAAAGCAAAATCTCAAAATAAAAAGTTTCAGGTTCATGTCATTGAAACTTGACGACATATTCGTCGCATTGATTTTGTCAACTGTGAGTCTGAAACAAAGCTTTATAATTAGTTAAGATATGAAATTTTTAGATCTCCGTAGTAGGACTGATAACAAATGGGATGACGGTGATGCTCATTTGGAAAACTCCGACACTTAAAAGCTCCTTCGGGACTCTTTGTTTCTCCCACACCGTTGCCAACATCTTGATCTTGCTTGGTTTCCTTTTCTGGGCTGTTCCGGCCACACTATCGTGAGTTATATTTGATGGTTCTATTAATTCATTTCCATCTAATCCCAGAAAACATGAGGAACAGTCGGTAACTTATCTAAAACGACGGTTTGGTCAGGGGATACAATGGTCTTGGAACGTTTGCGTTTTTTCACAGTTGACCATTGCAGCTAATCGGCTCATCGTTCTCTCTTTGCCTTTGAAAGTTGGTTTTTTTTGAGTTACTTCAAGTGAAGTAAACATTTTTCAGGCTAGAGAGTTACTATCCTTTAATTCAACTGTACTCTGTGTGATGGTTGTTTGGCTAGTCAGCTTGCTTCAAACTGCCCCTCAATTCATTTGGGGTCAGTCTTCATTATCTTTGAGAAAGAAAAATAAGTAAAATCTAGAAAGTACCTGTTATTTTCGTGTACGATCCAGAACAATGGATTTTTGTATTTGGTAATGAGGACTGCGCTTATCTGCTCAGTCAAACCTTGGGTCTTCGTATTTGGATGGCTATAACCGTTGTAATATTTATTCTTGACGTCGTTACATTTGCGAAATTTCGTCTAACTAACCGGGTGTGTCTTTTATTTTCAAAAAAGTCTGCCAGTTTTGAAGCGGGTTGTAAGCTACATACAAATTAGAGCACTGCAAAAGCGCTTCAAAATTAAGTATTTTTGAACGAGAAACTTTGAATATTCAAATTGCTGCCATTTTCGAATCAGGGAGTTGCAAGTTTGTAATTTTCAAGTGCTTAGACGGGAGCAGCAGCTCTGGAATTTGTGAAGCATCTGTCCTCCATTAAGCTGATTGAGATTTCGAAAATGTTCGAATTTTAGAGTCGCTTATCAGTTTACCATAAACCTTCCATTCAGAAAGCTGCTCGAAGATCGAAAGGCCCAAATTTGGAAGTGCGATTTTTCGTTCAGGTGCTTATGAATTTCCTTAACACACTGAAAACATGAGGTTCAGGCGTGCATTCAAAACGGCCTTTTCATGTTCTCCATGTTCAACTTCTACTTCCTAAGCAGCCTGTCCTCCAATAAATGGGCCATTTTTCTCTCGACGACTGTCGGCTGGCAGATAATTCATGTTCTGGACGGGTTTTTTTGTGTCATAAAATAATGAGTGGTCCTATTGAATTTTCAGATTGGTTCTACCATTGCTCATGTTCCGACTGCAGAATATTGACAAAAACCGCCTCAAGATGAAAGGAATCACGGCTGGTTCAACTACTCCTTGAGAAAGTTCCGAGGACGTTGGTGGGTACTTATTTCTTGTTTTTCTCCATCTTGATTTGGAGATGGCTTTTTCCGTCGTTCAAAGTTTGTGTATGATTATGACGAAAAATGTTCTTGTGGTCGCATTTAATTTTTGGTTTTTTTGGTTTAATCAATATTTTTCTCGTTAAGAATCACCTGCTACTTTTAATACCATGCATATATACTGATTTCGTCACGACTAGAAACGCCATTTTATCGCGTTCGACAGTATTCCATTGCACCAGGATATTTACTTGCGTCCTTCTGAGGTCTCAAGGGCTAGAAACGCAATTTTTACACCGCATTCGACAGGGATATTTTCATTGAGTAAAATAAATATTACTTACTGGCACATCTCGCCAAATCTTAATTTGCTTCTGAATTTTAATACAAGGCTCTTGTTATAACAGTCAAATATTCTTCCTGAAAATGGAATTTTCGGCTTGTGAAGAAAGTTCATTTTTCAATGCTGTTACGCTTCGGAGAGCGCTCGATATTACATTTTGTTTGACGCTACCGACAAACTTGATAGCTTTCTATTGTGTTTCGTATAAATCTCCATCCAGCATGCTGAAGACGTATAAATGGCTGCTGATGAATGCGCAACTTTGGTGAGAATTTCTTATCAGGAAAACTTTTCTACATATTTAATTTGCGCTTTTTTCATTTTTTTTTCAAGTGCATTATTGTCAAAAAAAAAAAGTTTTCAGGAGTCTCGTTTTGGACATACTATTGTCGCTCTTTTTAACGCCCGTTTTTTATTTTCCAATTTTGGGCGGTTATTCGATTGGTTTGCTGCAAACTCTAGGCTTACTAATTGAATTACAAATCGCTATTGCCTTTTTCGTTGCTACATGTTAGTTTCCTTTTTCCTAGCAACAAAGCTATGAAAACCGGTCAAAATACTCGTTTCAGGCATGATAACTGCCGTTCTAGCTCTGTTCGAGCACCGACATTATTGCGTGACGTTGAAAGATAGTTTTTTCTATTTCCGTAGCCGAACACGCTACACGAGTCTGATCGCTCTTTACTTTTTTTTGCAATCTGTTTTTTTCACTCTTTACTTTGTTGTTCCAGATGATCAGAGCCTTGCCAAAAAAATTACTATTGAGGTGATTTTCTTTGGAATAACACTCGCCGCAGAAAAAAATATCTCAGAGACTCAAATGTATCCCAGAAGGTATTCATACATCGGCATCATACATATTTGACCTAACATTTACCACAATAATATCTCTTATCGGAACAACTAGCTTTCTCCTCTCAGTTCTTGGATTCTGGTGCATTAGAATAGGTTATTCTCTTACAAGAACGAGAAACCGCGTTTCGACAAAAACGCGCCAACAACAGAAAATTTTCTTCTACTCTTTATTCTTTCAGGTCCGTTATTTAACTTTTTAAAAAAAACCGAAGTTTAGTGCTCAGTTCCATCTGTGTTGATAGCAGCCCCGTTTTTTGTGGCTTTTTCCTGTTAATCCTCGATATTCCTATGAAGTGTAAGTTTAGCACAATATCAACAAATGAAATACAACTTTCAGTTTTGTCCACAGTGGGAATCTTTTTTTTTCAGTCTTCATGGCCTTTCAGCGACAATTACACTTTTAATGTCGATTAAAATTTATAGAGTTTTTTGCTGTGAACTCCTTTTTAGAACTGCTTATATTTTTACAAAGAAAAAAGGTGGGTACAAGATCGGAAGAAAGGCCGTGTATTTGAATTTAGTGAACGTTTTGCGGGTGAACTCCCTCAAAACCCAAACTTTTCTGGAAAATCGAATGACTCTTCAGTTTTGAAACTGCGAAGATTCGCAATGTTTTAGAGCTGCGTTTCCAGTTTTTCGACTTCCCATTGATTGAAAGTGCGTTTTTGGCTTCATATACCTCTAACTTGGTTTCATGCTGCAAAATTATAGGGCTGACAGATGAAGTTTTCTGTCGGCTCTTAACATTTTTCGCTGGAAATCACCTGCCATTAAATTTTCTGAAAACTTTTTCGAGCACAATAATCTTCGAAAGTGAATTCACAACATTTTTTTTGCTTTATATGGAGTTCACAGCTTGCGAAGAGAATTCGTTTTTTAATCCTGGTACACTACGAATATCGCTGGATGTTACCCTATGCATTACCCTGCCAATAAACTGTATTGCTTTCTATTGTATCGCGTACAAATCTCCTTCCAGCATGCGTCGTACGTACAAATGGCTTCTGATGAATGCTCAGTTGTGGTAAGATTAGAATTTCACAAAGTTCTTGTGATTTTCGATTGTGTAATCAAAACAGTTTATGATATCTTTCGCTTATGAAAATTTTAGGAGCCTTGTAGTTGACCTTTTGACCTCAACTTTGGTAACACCTGTGTTCTACTTTCCAGTTTGGGGTGGCTATTCTATTGGATTACTGCAATTTATAGGTAGGGACCGCAGACGAATTTTTCAAAAAAATTTTTTTTCAGCATTGAGCTTTGTATGGTTTCGATAGCTGTTTCGATTCAAAACTCAGAACCGTTTAGTTTTTTTCAAAAAAGATTGAGGATGAAAAAAAGTTATGACGGAAAAAGGTGGCGCGCCGCGCACCATTTTTTTAGTACTGAAATTTTAGTATTATTCATTTTTGACATTTTTCTCGATTTTTTTCTTCTAGAAAAAAGTTTTGATACTGGTCTATTATGATGTAACAAATCATACTAGAGTGCTAAAAATGATGCTAATCAGCTAGTTTTGTCGAAAAAGTCGGTATTTTTCCAGAAAACAAAAAAACTGCCGCTTGCGGGCATCGAACTCGCTACCTCAAAAATGTAAAAATCGGAGCGCACGCGTTGCGCCAAGCTGTTAGGTCCAACGCGGGGAGCTTCCATCCGCCATACCCTTGAGCCGTTTGAAATAGCACAGATTGTCTATTTCAAAAAGAAAAACTTGAAGTAATTTAGCTATTTTTTTATCAGAATATGTTTGCAAATCTTTACTCAAACGGTTTCGTGGAAATTCACTTCGAAAAAACTGTTTTTCAGTGCTTTTTGCCTCGTTTTAACGATCGCTGCATTTAAAACGGCCCCGTAAATTTTTTTGGCAAAGACGAATTTTTTTATTTTATTCTTTTAATTGAAAGATTTTTTTACTAATAAATGTATATAATCGTTTTGAAAAAAACCTGCGTTCGACCGCTTTCTGTGTGATAAACGCCGCTAATTTTATCCTCTAGTTTTCAAGAGCATTTTTGCGTATTAAACAACTTTTTTTCAAGCACATATGCTGTGGAGAAAATATTTAAGTAAGCCCATGATCTAAATTTTGAAAAAAACAAAAAAACTCGATTATATTCGCTTATTAACGATATTTTTGAATTATGACTTTCGGCACTCCCTAAAATTTTTTTGGCAAAGACGAATTTTTTTATTTTATTGTTTTAAAATTACCGTTACTTGAATCAAAAATCATTATTTAAAAAAAGAAAGAGTGCGTTCGACCTGAAAAACACATGAAAAAAAGCAAAAATGACAAAATTTTTTAGTTCCATTCACGTTTTTTTGTACGACATTCCGCGCGAACGCATCAAAAAAAGCGTGAAATATTTTTTTAAACGAAAGAGGAAGCTTTTTCTGTACAAGTGTGTCAAATTTTATTTGCCAGTTCCACATATTTTACAACTACATCAAAATGAAAGTTGAAAAACCAAAAAAAGCCACTTTTTTTCTATCGCGAAAAGGGGCGTGGCTTTGCGGTCCCTATTTATAGGTTTACCCATTCTATCACAAATCGGGATAGCCTTTTTTGTTGGTCCATGTAAGTGTTTCAAGCAAGTTTTTGCTTTTTCAAAAAAATTTGCATTTCAGTCTTGATAGTATCTATTGTTTTGCTATTTGAGCATAGACATCATTGTGTAACGTTGAAGAGTAGTTGGTTCTACTTCTCTGAGAAAAAACGCTACGCATTTATTTTTCTGATATTTTCCCTAATGGAGTTGACGCTTCTTTTGATGATTTTACTCATACCAGAAAATCAAAATGTAGCCAAGAGAAAGGCCATTGAGGTAAAACTTTTTTTAAAAAAATGAAAAATCACAAAGATAAAATTTCTCAGAAGCTTGAATGTATCCCAGAAGCTATCGATACACCATCATCTTTTATTTTCGACCTGACGAATACCACTATCAAATACCTTTCTGCAATGACTTTCATAGTATCATCAATCATAGCATTTTTCTGCCTTCGGATCGGTTATTCTCTAACGATAAGTAAAAGCTACACTTCGGAAAAATCGCGCCAGCAACAGAAAAACTTCTTTTTGTCTCTATTCTTCCAGGTCAGTTAGTTTCTTATTTCATCTTGAAACAAATACAAACGTAAGGTACTCATTCCACTTGCGTTCATTGCGGGGCCGCTGTTTTTCGCATTCTTCCTGCAGCTTTACAGTATTCCTATGAGACGTGAATTCACCTGAAATCCTTCATATTTCAACTTTTTTTTAGTTCTCTCAACAATTGGAACATTTTCATTCAGTCTTCACGGGTTTTCGGCCACAATCACACTGTTATCGTCAATTAAAAATTATCGAATTTTCTGTTTGCAGGCTCTTTGCCAAGTTTCAAATATTTTCACGAAGAACAAAGGTTGGAATTCAACTGTGCGGACTTTCTAAATAGGATTTTCATTCAGTTCAAGTTTCCCGCGGGGCCTCGATTTACTCCAAAAACGTCGCACGATGAGTCACAATCTCAAAAAAACAAACTTTTTTCTCCCTCACTCCTGGAGATAAAATGGAATCCGTTATTTTACTTTTGATTTTTCAATCTGGAAATAAATTCCTCCGAGTTCTCATTACTATCGCGTAATGTAATTTGGGAGAAAAAGTTTTCACTTTTACGAACGATCTCCAGTGAAGGAGACGCCTAACCTGACATTTGCTCAAAATCACCTGCCTCTTTATTTTCTCAAAGTCCGTTGAAGCAAAATAATTTTTCTTGAGTTGATTCTCAAAAATTCTGC